GCCTTAGTGCATCCTGGGTAAGATGATAAACTACATCCAACAGCAAAACCTTTGATCAGGAGATTTTGAGGAGTGTTGAACCATCTCTTAATTGCTGGTATTCCCAGGTCCACCCTGACCCAGGGTGGTAGCACCTGGTAGGGTCCCAGCTATGGGCAAATAGATAAACCCCGCACAAAAGGGGTCAAAACACTATGAAAGTATAAATATAGGTTTTATTACTAACAGTATATTTTTGAATATTAGTAGCAATTCATTTTGAAGAAAAAAATATTACCAACATTAAAAATCTTGTCGGCATTAAATAACCCATTGAGGTTGATATGCCGTAAAACAAACCAAACCAAACAAAAGCTGATCTTAGCTCAACTTTCTTTACCCTTATCCTTACTTCTCATCAATTATTTCTGAACCAAAAAGGAAAACAGACATACTCAAGAGACATTTAACTTTATTTCAATATAGTCAACATAAAAGAAATAAATGTCTGTAGCAGAAAGTCAAGTTTTTTATAGGCTTCTTCTATCTTCTTTATTTATATTTTGAACACACAGCTTCACCTAAAAAATATACACAAAACCCACAAGCTTGTTGACATCCACAGTTTCAGCTGTTGTACCTTCCAATCTTCCTCAGGGATCTATATCAATCCAAGTAACTGCTAGGGGATTTCAAAACGAATCCATGATTTAATCTCTAAGATTGTTCTCATTCTACTTTTCATCTTAAAGATTAAAATGTTACGTTGTCAATTTGGTTGCATAGTAATTATAAGTTCAATCCTTGGGCCAAGCACTACAAACTTAGACTCAGTGAAAACAGGGAAAGCAATAACTGAGCAATACTAAATAAGAACAAGGCAATATATCCCAGGACATGGCCAATAAAACGAGAACTATCTGCTCCCATAGATTAAATAAAGTGTTCAGTTCAAAATTCCATGAAGTTTACCTGGATCAAGAGACACTTGAAGAAGGTCATAATGGCTGAAATGTTGTGATAATAACAACAAAAATGAGGACATTAATCTAAATGTAAATCATGTATAATGTTCAGTCCTTGATTAATGAAAAAGTGTTGGATTAAGGCAATGAAAAAGAAAGGGATTATGCTGAAAAAAAATATGTTTCTAGTGCAAAATGAACAATTTTTCATTGTTAGACAATAGACACATTATTTTTAATAATGCTATATCAGAACATGGGTGAGCATAACTGTCCATAGATTCCTTTTCTGTCAAGTAATGTCAAGGCGTCTCTGGTTTTAGCTATAATATGTGTGTGAATTATAAGCAGATATAAATAAAACCTTTTTTTGCATGTTTGAACTTGTGAAACATGTAAATTTGTTTTTGATATTAGTCTTTTAATTTGATCTTTCAAAATATTTTTTTTGGTTTTTTCTCATTTGTATTTCACCTATAAAAACCAAAAAGTATATTCAGGTCAATCTATAATAAGAATGATATATTTATAATATGACCATTCCCTAGAGGATGAACAGGTCTTATGTGTTTCAATTCTCTGATCTGGAGATAGGCAGGCAAATGACATATCCATTAGGCTTCAACTGCTTAAACATACTGTATATACTCACATATCATGTGACTTTAGAAGACCTAATTTTGAAGCTAATTTTAAGGGGGTTGCATCATACATGATGATATAAAATTAGCGAATGTACTGCTGGCTCTGGCTACACCATTGACCAAACTATATATCCATTTAGTTTAATTAAATTAGCTACAAAATTAGGTCTTTGATGGTCGCATATGTGAGTATATACAGTATGTTGAATTTTACTTAGAAATATGAAGTTTTTGCTTTTTATATTTGTGATCATTTGAATTAGTTTTAATGAGCTTAAAGCATCAATATTATCAAAAATAAATATCAATGATTAATTCAACTAATTACAACCTTAAAAGGGCATGCATTCACAAATATATTATAACTGATAAAAGTTTAACACATTTTCTTGTTTGTAAATGAATTATCAATTATGTACAAATGTAGTAGTTTGGGTTTGGTTTAGTTTGGTTTATTTTGTTTTAAGGCATATCAACCTTAATGGGTTATTTAATGCCAACAACATTTTTAGGATAGATTCGTATGAATAGAATATGTATTCTTTGGTTTAGATTGGTTTGGTTTATTTTGTTTTACGGCATATCAACCTTAATGGGTTATTTAATGCAGACAAAATTTTTATTGTCTGTAATATTTTGTTTTGTCAAAAATTTGTTTTTGGTAATATTTTTCCTTCAAAATTGTATTGCTGGTAATAATTTTTTTCAAAAAAGTACTGCTGGTAATAGTTAACCATTTGCCCATATTTGGGACCCTAACAGGTGCTACCACCCCAGGTCACAGTGGACCTGGGAACACCAGCAATTAAGAAATGGTTCCATGCTCATCAAAACCTCTTGATCAGAGGCCTTGCTGCTGGACGTAGTTTATCGTCTTACCCAGGACGCAGTAGTTTTGGAATGATTTAGATAAAGCATTATCATTACTATTAATTTTTTAATTGTTTTTCTTTCATAGTATTTCTGTTGCTTTTTTTTATTAAAGCTCTCAGATCATTATTCCTATAATTATTAAATAAGCACAAATAAAGAATAAGCTATATGAAAGATTTGAACCCACATATTTTATCCTTGGGGTCCTGTTACCAGTTTGGAAACAAAGTTTTTACTGGAACATAAAACTCAAGTCATGGTGTTGTCAAAGAAAAACAGCTTCCAAAGATGAGAAATGCAAGTTCAAATCCCAGGTTTAGTCTTTATTTCTGATCGCTGCTGCTTATTAAATGAGTTATAAAAGAAAAATCTGAGAAGTGTCATAAAGAGTAGGAGATGTAAAAATAAAAGAAATACTAGTCAAAAGTAATAATAATATTTTATAAAAATAATTATTTCCTGACTTTAAATTTGGTTGATAGAAAATAATACAAACCCTTGTCTATTATATGTTTATTTGGTTGGTTCAGTTTTACATGTCAACCCTTCTTTAATGTTGAATTTTGTATGTGGAACCCAGTGAAGATCAAACTCACTATTCAGTAGTAATGGTCAACCAGACACACCTCTGTAACCATTAAACCCATGTTGAATTTTGGTTGGTTGATTTTTACATATCAGCCCTTCTTGGGTTATTCAATGTCAAATTTTGTATGTGGCACCCAATCAGGATCAAATTCACTATTCAATAGTGATGGTCAACCAGACTAACCTCCCTAATGCTAAGGTGCCTGTTATATGTTCATATGAATAGGTGAAATCAAATGGAAATACATACATTTAGGTTGTACAGATCCTAATTTTGTTTTATTTTTTAACTTGTATTCCCAGAAATTTTTCTGTGATCTATTATAAAGCTGCAAAAAAACTTTCAAGAAGCAATATTTTTTTTTTGATTTATATATTTGATTTTTTTAATATAGATAGTACAGAAGTGAAAACATCTGAGATGAGTCATTTTGAAATGATATAATTAGAAGTAACCAATTGAAATAGATTAAAACTGATGTCAAACCTTAGTTGTATTTGCTTCATATTAGAAGATATTATAAAGGCAAGACTGCAACATGTTTTATGTCTATAATAAACTAATGTCAACTAATATTAATTGTTGTGATGACCAGATTGTTAGATGAACTGGATTAAATCCCTGTTGGGTCTTCACAGTTTGTTTTAGAGATTCAAATACAGATGAAAAGCAAGAGCTATCAATAAAAAATACTTGTGAAAGGCAAAAACCTTGCTTAGAAAGTCATTTATTTTTGTGTTTGTGACACAATGGGTCCTGCTTGATTGGCTTAGAACACCCACATAGTCAAGTGGGATGTAAATAATTTTATCTGAGCCTGAAGTGGCAGGTGTTTTATGACAACTGCCAGTAAAATTGAGATGTGAGAGCTTTAAAGAAATTAACTACTGTAGGGACAAAAGAAATAAAGTAATAAATGAAGACTCTTGGGATCAAGTGCCACTCAGCCAGAAGGTAGGAAATTTCACTCACAGGCTTATATAGTTGAAGCTTCATTCTAACATGGCATGGGACCAGCCATCCATCAAGATGCAGTCAGTGGCATTTAGAAATGAGTAGAACATTCAGAGTTCTTGCTAAAGGGAAGATCTAGTTCATTAATCTGTCATGAGAGAAAACAGAAACAGCAGTATAGATGTCGCAAGTGTCAGGTATCAATCCCTAGACAGCCCCGGGTGAATCAATAAATAAAGAATTCTGTATATTGAAAACAGGGGTTGTGTTAGTTACATTATTTACAAGAACACATGGCCTATTTGATAAAAGTGTTGGTTGAATCCAGTGACTTGACCCAAACAGTTGGGAGTTCAATACCTGGCTACTGCAGTGATGAACACAAACTTGGAGAGTTGAGTTAAAGCAAGATAACTGTGATATCCAGAAGAGGCACGGCATGTGGAACTAGAATAATCTACCCCGGTGGACGAAATAAAGGGTTCAGTTTGAAATTCCAATCACTTGAATAAGGCTGGAGCATACAACAGCCAAAACATTGTGAACATGGCAATAAAGATGTGGACAACAGTCCAAACAATGTAAATAATGTAAATAATTACAATACCTCATCTCAGAAATATAGACACTTTGTGTTCTCTTTTCTCACCATAGCAATATTTCATCTTCCATTCCTTTGTTGAATATACATGGGGCCTTTTCTAGTTTTTGTTCACATCAATGTAGATGGGAATTGAAACACCTTGTGTGGTAAAGTGGTTCAATCAGTAAACAAAACTGACTAAGGAACGCAGCTTTATGCTAACAATTGACTGAAAGTGTAAGATGCCCTACTTCTCAAAACAAAAAAAAACAAAATACTGTGGCAAAGAGAGGGGAAATATATAGAAGACAGGTTTGGCCCTGGAAAGATGTTGTATTGACATTCTATGTATTTGCTTGCTTTATTTATTCATTTCCTTTGTCTTGTCAGATTAATTTGTCTTCATATGCTCATATGGTCATATCATGTCAAAACACCTGTTCTCATATGATCACCAAAGTTAAGCGATGTCAAGCTTGGTCACTACCTAGATAGGTAACTGCTTGGGAAATACCAAGTGCTGTAAGCTTGGATGTGTAAGTAGCGTAATGAGTAACGGCTTAGAATTGGAAATCAGAGAGCTGAATTCCAATTCTAGTCAGGTTCATTATGTTCACTTATATGCAGATACTCTTGAGAAAGGTATGGATCCATCTCATCTCCCTCCAGCTGTGTGTTAATTAACAGGTATTGTATCAGTAAATCATTATTATCTCCCCAAAAGTTTCTTTTCTCTCACTTCTCACTTGTGAAACTCTCTTCTGGCTCCATGCTTTCCAGCCAACTTTGATGCTCAAAAATTTAAATTCAATGTGAATTGTTATCTATTGTCTTCCTGATTACTCTTCTATTGTTCTTGCTCATTAATTATGTTTCCGTTTTCTTATTATTTCACACTCAGTAACCTCTTGGGTCTTAGTGGCCTTACTGACTTGCATGGGGTAAAATGATTAAAAAAAATAAAAAAAACAATACTGAGGGTCAGAGCTCAAGCCCAGATAAATATGCTGGATCCCAAATGCTGATTTTCAAAGCAGGCATTGTAAAGAAATCTGTATAAATGTTATGCAGATTTCTTTCTGATCCAATGAAGTCAAATCACCCTCATTCTTTTCATATTCCAAATGTAAAAAGAAAGTCCCACATGAGCAGCTTTTTCCCTAAGTCCTCTTTTTTTCTAGAACAGTTTGTTCATTGATTCTTTCTTTTATGGCTGACCAACCCTTTGTGGATTATTTAAAATCGGAACATGTTTTTGGATTGCAAGAATAATTCATTATTTTTGCAAGTAAATATTGCATTAACAATTTTTTGAGGTTAACAAATAATTTTCATGGTACAAGTCCTGATATTTAAACTATAGCTAGGGGGGAGGGATAGATTCATACATTTCCCAAGGGTATTTGTGTGTAAATAAATGTAACGAACCTGACTGGAATTTGAATTTTGTGCTCTGATTTCTCATTCTGAGCCATTATTCATTACATCACCCACACATCCTATTTCCAGAGTAGACTCCCATGTGGGTAATTCCATGAAAACTACAATTTTAAGCTCCTGAAGTCAAAGGTCAATCTTTATTTATCACCTTTATCCCCATAATATTCACTTCCTACTATCTTCTTTTACATGTGTCACATTATTCAGCTACCTGCAACCTTAAGTAGTAAAAGGCCTTGTATTGAGTGAACTTTTAGTAAAAAAAAAAATTAATTTATGATTCTCAATTTCTCCTCCTTAGCACTGAACATTTCTCAGGTGTTTTAAAACATTTAATAATTACAATTGGACCTCAACAAGAAGCTTAGACAAAACTCCCTAAGAAGTTGTGGAATAAGATTTTTCTACTTGTTCTAGAAACATGCAGTAATATTAAATTTGATTATAAAGTGAAAACTACTACAGACTATGAACTTATGAATAGACAAATATTGTTGACCTATATCCAGGCTGTAAATTTGTTTTACTAGTTTACACCTTTTTCTTCTTTATGTGTTGTGATGTAGGCGATCATGGTTCTCCACAATTTCCTGTCCCTTGCAGTTCTAAATAAATTCAGTCTTTTCTTTATTTCTAAACCCTGTTCTGACATCCATTTTCTCAAGCTTGTCATTATGTGTTGTTTTCCACTTGTTCTCAATCTGTCCTGTGAGTATCAGATTTTCCAAGCCTTCCTTTCTCATTATGTGCCCCAGAAATTTTACCTGTCTCTTCCTGATGTTAAGTATAAGTTTTCTTTTTATTTCCATTTTCTATAAAAAATCTGGTTGTTGCTCACATCTTTGTTTCATTGTATCCTCACTATCCTTCTGTAGAACCATATTTCGGTTGCTTCAAGTCTCTTCTTCATCTTTGAGGTAAGCATTCACTTCCATACAGTAGGACAGATATCATATAATAGTTCAGTACTCTTTTCTTTGTTTTTCCTTCTTTAGTTTTTCTATTTCTTAATACACTACAGGAATTAATCATAGAAAAAGATATCACAAACGTGTCTTATAAGGATAGAATGATTTTATTTTCAACAGTGACCAAAATGCTTTTATTTATTGGGCAAATAAATGGTCTATTGGTAAAAAAAAATTGGTACTAATTTTATTCACTATATATATATATATATATATATATATATATATATACATATATATATATATATATATATTCGTATGGATATGAGTTTGTAACCCTGGGTTTCACACTTTTGTGATCATCAGACAAACTGATTTATTTTTTAAAATTTGAATCTATTTATGTTAGTTTGTGTTTGATTGTGTTTGGTGATTGAGGCGGGGGGTGGGGGTGAAGAAAATTCTCCCGTGTCTGTTTTGGGATGACATTCATATGTATGCAAGCGTACATACATAAAGGTGTATGCATTATAGTTTGCACAAGCACACACATATATAAACAATGTGAGACCAGGTGCAGATATATATTCATTAGTTTGAACACACATACATACACAATTGTAATCCTATTTCAGTGTTGATATTGTGTGTAGTAAAGTTCTTTCAAGAAAGGGTGGGCTGGGATGATCTTGGCTCTAAACAGATTGGCCACCTGTATCATCAAATGGAATAACACTTATATATATATATATATATATATATATACTCAGTTGTATGGATATTAGTTTGTGACCCTGAGTTTCATGCTTTTGTGATCATCAGACAAACCAGTTTATTTTTTAAAAATGAATCTATTTATGCTTATTTGTGTTTGATTATTGTAGTGGGAATAGTTAGGCTACTACTAATTAGCATAACCATACCACTATATAGGCAGAACTTGAGATAGACTGCCAGAGTGTCACTTACGACGACTACTACTAATTGTGTGTATATCAACTTCATAACAATTATGTTTGGTGGAGGGAGGGGATTTTCTTCTGTGTTTGTTTGGGATGACACTCTCACACACATAGACACACATATAACCTAACTCACACAAACACATCCATATAAACGCATATAAACAATCTGAGCCTAGGTGCAAGTTTGTTTATATGGGTGTGATTATGTGAGCTAGGGTTCATGCACCTGTGTGCATGTGTGTTTATGTATGTGACAATGTCATCCCAAATAATCACAGTGTGTGTATGTCTATATTTCCGAGATGAGGTATTATGTACACTATTTACATTGTTCACACTATTGTCCTCATCTTTGTTGTCATATTTATCACGTTTCAGCCGTTGTACGCTACAGCCTTCTTCAGATGGTTGGAATGTCGAACTGAACCCTTTATTTCACTCGCTTGGGTAGACTGTTCTAGTTCCATGTGCCATGTCTAATGGATGTCAGTTATCTTCTGTTAATTCACCTTTCCAACTTCTTCACTGCCTTAACCAGGTATTGAACTCACAACTCCTGTCACTGGATCTAACCAACACCTTTATCCACTGTGCCATGTGTTCGTAAGGAGATAACTGATAACTGACATCCATTAGACATGGCACGTGGAACTAGAACAGTCTACCCCCAGCAAGCAAAATAAAGGGTTCAGTTCAACATTCCAACCACCTGAAGAAGGTCAGCGTGTATAATGGCTGAAACGTTGTGATAAATATGGCAACAAAGATGAGGACAATTTTTGGCCGAGCCTACGGGCTTGGATACTCCACATTAAATTTGGCCTTGTACCACATCTGACCACATGGGGAGGTTGGTAGATTTCCTGCAGTTGGAGATTCATTGTGGAATTTACTTGACTCACTTCTAACAGTTGACTACTTCTTTTACGTGCAACTGATGAATCTTATATGTATTTTTTGTGTCCTATGTATTATCATTCATTTCCATGTGATTATTCAATTCAGTAATCTTTCCTAGGCTACAACAGAGATTAAGATGAAAATAGAAAGGTTCAGTCTATGAGTTAAGAATGTCCTATGTGCTGAAACATCAATTTGCAAGGGTTTATATTGTAAAGAACAATTTCACCATTTACATAATATGCAAAACCTGTTTAGTTCTTGTTCCATTTTTAACCAAGCTCACCTTATTCATTTCACCTTTTCTTTCTCTCCATGATGGCTTTTCTCTTTCTCTTTACTCAATTTGTCAGTAGCTGACATCCTAATTTGAGTTGATGCTGACTGGTGAGTCTTCTATCAATGAAGCTAATCCAAGCTAACAGTTGTGTTTGAGCTACCAGCTCAGTCCTTTACAGCCAAGACTTGCCTTGCTACATCCACAGGGTTGAATCACTATAATTCCCTATATATTCCTTTGATAAGAGTATTGACTCGGTTTTTATTTGTTATTTAGCTATTATTATTTTACATGTTACATCAAGGTTTATGTATCCAACATTGTTTTAATTTAGTAAGAAAAAAAGATAAACTGAAATATTTGAGTTGTATATTAATTGTAGGAAACTTACAGATTGTGGAACTTACAATGCGTTTTTGTCTGAGTAAATTGTCTTCATATTTTATTGAAGCAGCATTTTCAATGTCAAAATTCTGATGACAAAATTTTTACTGATGATGCTAGTGAAACATGTCAATGTAAAATTTTTTCAAAATTGTCTTAATATTCTGTCAGATTTTCATCTAACTTTATTCACATAATGGCAATATAAAAATATATTAAAGATACATTTATTCTTTTTGAATGAATGGAAAATAATGAATGAAATGTAACGAAAAAGTTAAGAGCAATAGTAAAGAGCAGATATAAGACATAAAATATTGCCTTCAGTTAATTATTTTCATTTGATGATCCCAGTCTTTTGAACAGAAGTAGAGGTTTATCCCTTGTTTCCTGTTTAGAATTCGGTTTGCAATTCTTTCTAAAGTCTACTTCAACTCTATACCTCTCTGCCTAAACTTTGAAATTTTATTTACTAATTATTTTTTGTTTCCTCAATAGGAGTAGATAGGTTCATCTATTGTACTGTTCACACTCCTCTCAGTCATTTTAACAGGTTTATCATTTATTTCCTGTTTAGGAATGGGTTTCCAGTTTGTTCTAAAGTCTACCACTACCCTATAGTTCTGACGTCTCCACCTAAAATCTGAAATTTTATTTACTAATTAATTTTGTTTCTCCTCAATATGAGTAGATAAGTTCACCTATTGTTAAATTAAGGGATTACATAATTTGTTTTTGTAACAAAAAGGGAACTCTATAAAAATGTGATACATAAGGTTTAAAATGAATTTTTAAAAATGAAAAATCTTTCTTGAAGGTTTTATTTTAGTTTTAATTTCAAGGTTATAGATTAAATTTAATATTTTCAATAAGCAAAATACTTTGCAGTACAGAAAAACCTTTCATCTACGGACACCCCATCAATGGACTTTAGAAGCAATGGACAAAATCTGCAAGCAAAATAAAAATAAGCTGCAGGAAAAAACTTCCAAATTGTCAGTGATGTATTTCAAAATTTGCAGGCTTAGCGAAACAAGTTGTATTAGTTCCCAAAGTGACTGCTTGGTGGCTGGCCTTTTAATTGTAAACCAAGACTGGTGTACAGTATATAAAGTACGATACATATTAGCATGTGCATGAGAAAGTAGCTGTGAAAATATTATTTTTGTTATTTTTATTAATGTATTAATTTTGTTCAGCCTTCGTCATTGCATCGAAGTAGAAGGAAAGTGTAAAAAGGAAGCATACAAACCTAAGTATCACTGAGAAATTAGAACTTTTTCCATCTACAGACAATTGGCTTTAATGGAATTAGTCCATTGATGAGAGGTTTGTCTGTATTTCAAAAAGTAATTTAAAATGACTGGAAGGATTTCTCTGTGCTAAAATAGCTGATTAGGGCTTTTTTTTTTACTCATCTTTCATTGCAAAACAATCTTTCCAAAAATAAAATATACCTTTCTGAAACTTTATTTGAGGAATATTAGCTGATTTAAAGTATAATTAATCTGATTTAAAACAAATATCATTTACTTAGTTTAAAATATTGCAGAAATGCATTTTTTTAACCCAACAGCAGCTGTTTATTTAAGATGTTGATGTGCTGACAGTGTGATGACAGATCTAATGTTTTTCTATGGAGACTTTATCTGTAAAAGATAATTGAAGAAAATGACATGAATGTTTTTTATATCATTTTTAAGCATTCAGTAATCTGAAGAATTTAGAAGAGTATCCTCCACAATCTTATTGAATTTTAGAAATTTTGTCTTTAAATTTACTATAGTTATCATTCTTATTTTCTGATAATTTCATGTATGATTGCCCATACTTACAAAAATTGGCATATAAAAAAAAAATCAAAATTCTTTTAAAAATATTGGTGTTTGATGATTTGCATTAAGCTTTTCCATTTATGATTAGTAAATATAGTTATGACTTAATAATACCATCAAAAAGGCTGAAATTAATACAGAATTTTAAAAGATTTAAAACTTAGTAAATTTTTTTTTTAAATTTAAAAAAAATAAAAACAATTCTTATAAAAATTCATTATTCATTGAAAAGAATTTTTCTTAAGACAATAATAAATAAATCCCATTTTGAATAATAATAAATAAATCCCATTTTAAAAGCCATTAAAAACTTTTCTAATTAAATAATGTCATAGTTTTATTCCATTTTTTTTAATTTTATGATTCAGAGCAGATTTTTCAGTAAATGGTCTTTCTGTTTGACAAAAACAAATTGATTTAAATTCTCCAAGGAGTACTGCTAATTAAATATAAATATGAAGAGGCTAAAATTTTAATTTCTCTAAATGTCATAAAATTAAGTAGGGGTAAACAGATGTAATATATGTATGTGTGTGTGTGTGTGTGTGTGTGTGTGTGTGTGCATGTGTGTTTATGTATGTGACAATGTCAGCCTAAACAAACACAGTGTGTGTGTGTGTGTGTGTGTGTGTATTTTACCAAGATTTTTTAAAAAGAAAAACTTCAGAAATAATTTCTTTTATTTGTGGAATAAGTCCTGAAAATTTCATTAAAATCCGACAATTATTTGATTTTTGCAAGAATTTCCAAAACAATGCGTTTTTTTACCGCAAAAAAGGCGCTAAATTTCCCCTTTGACCCACCCGCTGAAGTAAGAAAACAAGTTTTTTAACCAAAATTTCGAACGTGTTAGAAAGGATTAAAAAATTTAATAAAATAATCAAAAAATACTTTGGTCTTTCCTCTTCTTAATTAATAAATAACATAAACGATACATTTTGAAGAATGAAAAAAGTTTTGAGAGCCTTTTTTTTCATCATGGTATGCTGTTTTTTTATAACATTTTTGGAGAAGAATTAAAAAAAAAATAACAGATACTTTTTTTCCGTTTGTAAATAATCTTTTTTTCTTGTGAAGTCTGATGTCATTTGAATTTTTTTCTTTCTTTTTTCCTTCGGACAACGCGGTTATCCCTGTTAGTGTTGTGTGTGTAGTATGCATGCAATATTGCGTTTTTTATGTCGATGATAGGATGCCTGATAATGAAAGAAGAAGGCTATGAAATTAAAACGCTTATTTACGAGAAAACAAATTTATCTGGAGTCAATGACTGGCATTTAATAGCCTATTTAAAAATAATAATGAAAATTAAAATATATACCGCAATTCCCCATGTACGCATTCATCCATAATACGCACACCTAAAATTGTGCTGAAAGTGTGGGAAAATGCTTCTACTCCCGCATAATACGCACCCCTTGTTTGGTAATTAAACCTTATTTTGTACCTCTCCAATTTCATTACGGCCAGCGTTTTCTACTCATATTTAAAAAGTAAAAACATATTTAAACATATTATTCTAAGTTTTATGATAATTCTGAATCTGCTTGTTTTATTTTACGGCAATTTTTAAAAGATTTTTGTAGCTGTGCATAATACGCACCTCTGATTTTGCTTATTAATTTTTAGAAAAAAATGCGTATTATACATGGGGAATTACGGTATCTGTCAACATTCAATTTCAATTATGGAATGTTGTATCTGTGAAACTTAAGTCCGAAGATAAGTCCTTTGAACTTTTTTTTATTCATTATAGAAAGATGAATAAAAAAAGTGCTCAATATTAAAAAACAGAGCAACAAAATTTAACTATCATTATCCCTGCTTGTGTAGTATGGATGCAATATTGCGTTTTTGTCGGTATAGGACGCCTGATAAAGAAGAAGGCTAAGAAATTAACGCTTATTTACGAGAAAACAAATTTATTATTAGTTTTTGAAAATGTTTATTTTAATTTTTTTTAAATCATTCTTCTCTCCTCAGCCTAACCCGATCACATTCCAAAAAACAAGGGTTTCTCTTTTGAATGAAACAGAAACAGAAACACAACATTTTTAACAACAACTGAGGTTTATGTTTTTTTAAACTCAAACAAAAGTTTCTCACACTCGGCTGTAGTGTTGTACATGTCTGTTTGTTGTTGATAGTGTACTGTAGACAAATTGAGAGTTTGTTTCGGAGCCTAATATAGTGAACTGGGAAAACAAGTAAATATTTTTAAAAAATCCCGAAGATTGTTTAATTAGTTAGTAGCATATCTCGAGGTTCATTACATTTTAATAACTTTGGAAAGTTTATTTATAGCGAAGCGTATAGGAGATATGCTGGGAGTAGGAGGACAGAGAACAACTAGAGAAGGAGGAGTTCTAAATGCCAAAAAAAGAAAAAATGTAATAGAGAAATTAGAAGGAGTGAAAATGCGACATGGTAGGAGTTAATGTATACAAAGTAGTAGGAGGAATGCATGTATACATAACGACAAACACCAGGTTAACATGTGATCAGGCCAAGCCCAGCTTGTCGTTGAGGGTAGGATTCGTTTACACCACAAGCACGAGAAAAACTCGAGGGCCCTACGGTTTATATACATGCGCGCGTGCGCACACACACGAATCATCTGTGGAGAGAGATGTCGTGGGGTAGCATGTTATAAAGTGCTTACAACAATAACAAACAAACGGAATTTTAATCATCCAGACATTTGACATATTGGCTAACATCTCTCTAGTTGAAATCTCACATTCTTTCTTATTTTAAAGAAAAGCTAAATGTCTGAATAAAACATTTAGTTTTTATATATAACTATACCTCGTAGGGCCGCAAATAACTTTCGAATACTACTAATTGTAGTAGTGACAAAACTTTTTTTTTTTTTTTTTTGAAAATCATAATCATCATTATTATTGATTATTGATTTTTTTTTTTTTTTTTTTTTTTTTTCTGATTCCGAAAAGTGGATTTTTAATACAATAACAAACAATCCAAATGAGCGGGGAACGTGAAGTTAAAACTGGAAAAATTTCTATTTCCAAGACATCTTTTCTGAAGGTAAATAATTTAATCAATATTACAAATTCAATTTACTAATTTCAATATTCAACGTTGAATTAAATGTTTTGTCTTAAGTTAAAAAAAGGAATGAATCAGTGTGTACTAGTGTAAACTTCTCTAGGATAACTTTTTCTTTATGTCTATGCAATGAACTGGAGTTTCCATGATTAGAAAATAATTGCCCAAACTTTTTATTTTTACCTAATTAAAAAAAAAATCATTTAAAAAATCTTTTCACGATATTAAAACTAGTTAATGAAGCCACACAAAACAAAACAGTGTGCGGATTTTTTAATTTTTATTTTTAAAGTTAAGTTTGGTTCAAGTTTTTGAATAGACTTTTTTTTTTTTTTTTTTTTTTTTTTTAGCATTTAATCTCCTTTCTCTCCGTACTTCATCTTTTACAAAATATATGAACTTTGGCACTATTACACTTTCGCACCCTCAGCCTTATTGTAAGCGCCCGTTAATGTTGAAATTGTTTATTTATATGACGTTTTTATGCGCAATATGATTATTATATAATGTTATTGTTATTTTATTCTACTTTCGTTATGTGCTTATAAGAATATTTAAGCAAGTCATTTTTCATCGGGTTTCGATTATTGAACAATTAGAAAGACTAACGCCAATTCTGATTTAGTGGGGGGTGCGAAAGTGTAATAGCGCCTTGATAATTAAACATCCATTTAATTAAAAAAAAGTAAATAAATCTCTAGCTAATCATATTTTTTTTTGTGTCTCCGTAATAACTAAATCGCAAATAAATATCCTGTTTTTATTTTAAAAAATTCACTCCAAATTGACAAAAAAAAAAAAAAAAAGTCTGAGCATTTTCTTTAAATGTAACATAGGTACTAACTACACTTGACTACTAACTCGAGTGTTGTTTTATTGTATGACATAGGACACTTAGGACCAGCTAATTCTCTTGTCGACGGATATTTTAAAAAAATTATGCCTCCTCTTTTTATTGCTATTAAAAAAAAACTTGAAAAATAAAAATGCTTCATTTTTGGCATCTATGAACTGAAAAAGAAAAATACTTGTTAAAAACCTTTTGGTGATACAGGTGTAGTATTCATTTTTATTCAAATAATTCAATTTTCAGTGGGAAATAAACAGTTTTTCGTACGTGTGTTGTAAAAAAAAAATACATAAGGTTCCGGGTTAAAACAATTTTAAATTTCAGAACTAAAATTTAATTCTTAACGAAATAATTTTCTACATAAAAAAAAAAATTTTTTTTTTTTTTTTTTTTTTTTTTTTTTTTAACGAGAATTACCAATTATAAATTATATTTACTGACTTTTTCCAATGTTTCAGTTTTTTAATAATTTTTTTTTCTCTTTAAAAAAAAAAAAAAAAAGAAATTGAAAATAAATTCCGGATTTAGAAAATTCTCAGATTTCGTTCACTGAGGTCAAACTAGAAATATGAATAATACACTTTTATCTTTGACATTTAGGGGAAAAACGGAAATAAAAAGTTAAAACTGAGTTTTAAAATTTTTATTTTATTTCTTCTCTCGTTGGTACCTCATTGCAGGTTTTAAAAATGGATCTAAGGAAAAAAAAATAACGCATTCCCATTTGTTTGTATAACAATCAAAATGATTCTTCCGTTGACAGTTGATTGAGAAATTATTATCGAAATGAAAAGCAATCCTTTTTTAACTAACAGGTGATCGATTTTTTTCTCGCCCCTTGTGCCTTTTACAGTAAAGCAACCCTTCCAATATATAAATTTTCGGTTACACCTTCCTAATATACACATCTACATTAGTTTCGGATAGGGCGCCTTATTAGAGCTTGTGTAGTTGACTATTGCTTCCGAGTTCGATCCTCACTCGGAGTTTCATTTTTGTGGCCTTGTACCAACAAATTTATGCTTAGTAAATAACACTGATTTCGGGTCCATAAACAACTACTTTAGTTTTTATTTTACTATAATTTTGTACCCATATGGCGTATTTGCGTCTTTAAAAAAAAAACCCACAAATCTGGAAATTCATCAATAATTAGCAGAATTAGCTGCGTGGATCACATACAATGCAACATAAATTAAAATAAATAGCTATTCGTTTTTTTTTTTTTATATACTGCAGTGATAAAAATGTATCATCGATTTTTTTGTTTTGTTTTATGTGATGTGATTATTAGACCATCTCTTCAGTTAGCATTAAAGAACAATGTTATTTTAAAAGAAAAAATGCAATCACTGAACCCTTGTTACCTAATCATAAAAAGTTCTCGTGCAAGATCTGAAAAGACTCTAAGATTTTTTTCATCACCGAAGTGAAAGTCTTTATTTTATTTAAGTTTTTTTTTTTTTATAAATATTCGGCAACTTATAGCTTTTTGTTTTTGATGTGTAATCATTATCAAGGGAAACTTAGCATTTTAAAAAATTTTTCTTTTCATTTTTTCTCTTTATTTTTTTTTGTTTGTTGAACCAGTATTTATTAATTTTCTTGTGCCTATCATAGACTTTGAGTTAAAATATATTCGAAACTCATTTTGATGTTATTGTTAATGACCGAAGACTGAAAAACAATTCAACAACAAACCTATGGTGTATTAATTATTTAGAGAGTGTACTTAGTAATAAAAACCGTATTTCTCTTTCTAGGAAAGATACGAGAACTTTCACAATTGGTTGATTGTTCAATGTTAAAAAAACCCAAAAAAGCTGTTTGATTTAAATCAAATATATATATTTTTTTTTTTTTTTTAATTTATTTTTAATTTAAATACTAACTGAAGGGACGGTCTTCAACTATAGTTGAATTCAACTTTTTTTCCAAGAAGTAAAACAGTAAAAAAAATTCATTCTCTTGATCCGACTTTTGAACAAACGATTTTTTTGTTTTATGTGATGTGATTATTAGACCGTCTCTTCAGTTAGCATTAAATTTTATTTAAATTTAAAAGAAATGAAAACTGGTTTAATTTAAAAATCAAACCTGTTGTTGTTTTGTTTTTTTAAGGAGGTGGCTGGTGGACCAAAGATCTTTATCTTTTTACACACAGTAAATCTGGATTATTTTTAGAAATTTAACTGGTCAACAGTTAATTTCCGAATAATACAGATTAATTAATAACTTAAAGTTAACTTAACGAATCTATATCCCATTGGTATTGATTAAGAAGAAGAGTTGTAATAAGTGTTGTCATTTTTTTCGCAAAGATTCTTCAGTTACCGAAAAACTGAAATGTTTCATTGTGAACTTACAGATCGTACTAAAAATAACAGCATTATTTAAATTTAAAATTAACTTTTTTAGCATCTCGTTTGTAGCATTTACCGACTCCTTACCACTTTATTAATATTTCCCTATGGAAGAAAAAAAAAATAGTGTCACTTTATGCGCAGGATTATCTGTTTCAATTAAATAAAAATATTTTTTTTCTCGTTAATGGAAATTCGGATTTCTTATTAAAAAAAAAATTACAGAAACCTAAAAGAATTAAGAAAAATTTAATTTTAAAGTGAAAGTGGGAGAGAAATTGTTTTTAAACAGTATTTGCAAGGGTTGAATAATTATTCAATTTCTCCAGCTCTTTTTTTTTTTTAATTTTTTTTTTTTTTTAACTTGGAGAGAAATTGATTCGTAGACGAAAAAAAAAAGTACTTAAATTTTAATGTAATAAAAATATGAAATATAACTTCTTTCTCAAAGTAAAAATATGATAAAAATGTAAAAACTAAAAGTTTTTTCCCCCCCTGAAAACAACTTCACTCTGGGAATATTTGGAATGGAAAAGTTTGCTGCCTGGGTAACATGTTGAGTTCCAACGCCTTGGCATTTTTATTTTATTTATTTATTTTTTTATTTTATTTATTTATTTTTTTATTTTATTTTATTTTTTATTTTAAAAGATAATAAATTTATTTGGTCAGGAAATGCTATTTCAATATTGAAAAAAAAAAAAAAAGTCTGGATAATACTGATTTCCAGCCGGACGTTGAGATTCAAATTTTTTTTTTAATTAGTATCCGGACAGTCTTTCTTTTCTTTTTTTTTTCTTTTTTTTTACAATAATCAATTTTTCTTTGTAAAATATCGAAATCAATATTCATAGTGTATTGTTGGATTTTAAACTTTAGTTTAGCATCCTTCAATTGCCAAATGTTGGAATTTACCATAAGTACAATTTTAAAAAATCTAAATTCTGAACAATTTACCAAAGCAAAAATATCTAAAAAAAAAAAAAAAACTCTGATTCTAAAAATTTAGTGAACACAATTTTTATGAGAATTTTTTTATTACACCAACAAATATTGCCTGAAATAAAATAGACTTCTATGTAGTTAAAATAAAAATATTGCCGATCTGTTTGGTCGCAGTCTTTTTTAGGCGTTTTTTTTTTCTTTTTTCTTTACCATATTTTTAGCGCCTGTCATTCTTTTCTTTCAGGAAAGCCACAAATACTTAAGTAGGTGGCATTTCGAATGTTGATTAACAAGGTTCTCTCCTCTCCCGCCCTCCCCACACTTAAAAAAAAAAAAAAAAATGCAGGGAAGAATCGCGCAACATAACTTTCAAACTCCATTCTCTTCCTGTTTTGGTGTCACAATTTGGTTTGGCTAGTTATGGAAATCCGACAGAATGATTAAATCGGTATCAAACAAAATTTCCTGATTGTTCGCTTTTTATTAAATGTTTTTATTTTACTTTATAAACTGAAAAATGTCTCGAAATATTTCAATCACTTTATGACCTAAGAATCACTCCACTGAATTGATCGCATAATATGACTTTTTATGAGCGTTATGCTTCTATTTTCTGCGATTAATAGATGGATTTTTCAAATACTACGGTAGTGTAGGTTCGATCAAATATTGAATGTTTTTAGATCTCTTTGAGCACATTATTAACAAATTGTTTTTAAAGTCTTATTTTTTGTAATGTAATTAATTGTATAATTAAGCCCAGTTTTCTAGTTAGTAGCTAGCATTTTTAATAATTTGTAAAGAAACAGAACATAACTACT